ACATGACAAAGGAGGCACCTCTGGTGAAAACACACAAAACCTGTTCACTTCATACTCGCAGAAAAGCTTTCGCCCTATCACTAAGAAGCATAGACGCCTGGCTTATGCAATTGCCGATCGACCTAATTTTTACTGTCTCTCTTACAACCCTTTTAACGTCATTTATCTCTTTGCATACTACCGTTGTACCGGACCACTCGGCTGAGCAGTTTCTGCATTCTTGTACATGTGTCGCAATTTCGGAATTAGTCGATTTTATCTTTACGTTTCTCTTGTGCTCTGTCAGACGATCGTTCAAGCATCTTGAGGTCTGCCCTATATACTTAAAACCGCACGTCATCGGTATGTCGTAAACAACGCCAGTCTCACAAGGCACAGACTTTTCCCTGTGGCCCTTTTGGCACCCTTTTTGCTCTCTTTGGAACGGAGTGAGGTTGCCCAACTTAAAGTCCGAGCTGAAAACTACATTAACGCCAAATTTTTTTGCACACGCTTTTATATTGTGTGACACGGTATGAAAATACGGCATCACTGCGATCCTGTTTCTCGATTTTTCCTCCGCCTTTTCCTTTTCCCGGTTCATTAATGTCATTTGCCTCCCGATGAAATCTTCCTCGTAGCCTGCGTTCATCAATCGTTGCCACTGCCCCCTCACTGCCCTAGCCACGAAATGAACACATGACCTGTTCAAAGCATTGGTGAACAGCGACCTAACGACACTCGCCTTTACCGTCTTCGAGTGGCAGCTCTTCTTCGGGAGTACTGGTTTCGGGGCATCTTTTCCATACTCCCAGCATAGGGTTTCACCCACATGAAGTCTTAGATCCAAAAACTGTAACCTATTGTTCGTTGGTTTTTCCACTGTGAACTTCAGTTCAGGAGCTGATGACACTATTAGTGACTCTAGCTTCTCCGCAATTCCACTCTGAAAGGTGCATACCACAATGTCGTCGACATATCTCCTGACTATACAGCTACCCGACGGCATTTTTCCTAGTCCTTCTACAACTGCAGAATCAAGTGAGTTCAAATATATCTCCGCCAAAGCTGGTGCTACCGATGAGCCTATGCACACTCCATCTTTCTGCACAAATTTTTTCCCATCGTATTCTACCACCGTTGAACGAAGATACAAATCCAACACCGTCAGGAAACAGTCTACTGAAATGCCCGAACCTGACTGAAATTTTACGAGATTACGCTCCAGGGCCTCTTTTACACGCTTCAACAGTCTGCTCTTCTCCAACGAATAATAAAGGTCTTTTATGTCCATAGAAAATATCGAACACTTCCTGCCATGATGGACCTCCAGGATGTCAATTAATTCGTTTGAGTTTCTCAGCGAGAGCGAATCTTCAAGCCTTACATACTCTAATCCTTGTTGCAGGAATTTAGACACCACCTTCTGCCAAGTCCCGTTCTCATTTATCACTGTGCGGAAAGGAAGCTCAGGTTTATGGTCTTTTAGAAAAAACTTCAGGCTCAATGTTGAGTGTCTTGAGCTCAATACCCCTTTCGCCGTCCCTTCAAACTCCTCTCCCTTAAAAACCCCACAAATCTCTTTTCTCAACTTTCCAATATTTCCGGTCCATTCCACAAACAGGGAATCCAACGCCTCCTTTGCCTTCTTCCGGAAAACCGGCTTGGGTAAGACTGCAAACTTCCCAGTTTTGTCCGTCTGCAACATCTCTAGCGATTTACAATCTAGCTCGTTTTTTACCGCTTTTACCTCACTGAAGTTCCTTCTTTCCGTCGGGTAATCTCTGCCCATCACATTTTCCATTCGGCCAATTGCTTGATCAACAAAAGCTGCCTTCTCATCCTGAGTGACAACTTTTGCGACTGTCTGTATTGACGAGAACACGTCCATTCTCGACGGTTTTACATTTAAACAAAACTTTGGCCCTCTACTTAAAAATTCCTCAGTCTTCCGGGATACCGCTTCTCTACATGGATTTACAATGGACGCATGGGGCACACCTTTCCGCACAGTGATAAATGAGAACGGGACTTGGCAGAAGGTGGTGTCTAAATTCCTGCAACAAGGATTAGAGTATGTAAGGCTTGAAGATTCGCTCTCGCTGAGAAACTCAAACGAATTAATTGACATCCTGGAGGTCCATCATGGCAGGAAGTGTTCGATATTTTCTATGGACATAAAAGACCTTTATTATTCGTTGGAGAAGAGCAGACTGTTGAAGCGTGTAAAAGAGGCCCTGGAGCGTAATCTCGTAAAATTTCAGTCAGGTTCGGGCATTTCAGTAGACTGTTTCCTGACGGTGTTGGATTTGTATCTTCGTTCAACGGTGGTAGAATACGATGGGAAAAAATTTGTGCAGAAAGATGGAGTGTGCATAGGCTCATCGGTAGCACCAGCTTTGGCGGAGATATATTTGAACTCACTTGATTCTGCAGTTGTAGAAGGACTAGGAAAAATGCCGTCGGGTAGCTGTATAGTCAGGAGATATGTCGACGACATTGTGGTATGCACCTTTCAGAGTGGAATTGCGGAGAAGCTAGAGTCACTAATAGTGTCATCAGCTCCTGAACTGAAGTTCACAGTGGAAAAACCAACAAACAATAGGTTACAGTTTTTGGATCTAAGACTTCATGTGGGTGAAACCCTATGCTGGGAGTATGGAAAAGATGCCCCGAAACCAGTACTCCCGAAGAAGAGCTGCCACTCGAAGACGGTAAAGGCGAGTGTCGTTAGGTCGCTGTTCACCAATGCTTTGAACAGGTCATGTGTTCATTTCGTGGCTAGGGCAGTGAGGGGGCAGTGGCAACGATTGATGAACGCAGGCTACGAGGAAGATTTCATCGGGAGGCAAATGACATTAATGAACCGGGAAAAGGAAAAGGCGGAGGAAAAATCGAGAAACAGGATCGCAGTGATGCCGTATTTTCATACCGTGTCACACAATATAAAAGCGTGTGCAAAAAAATTTGGCGTTAATGTAGTTTTCAGCTCGGACTTTAAGTTGGGCAACCTCACTCCGTTCCAAAGAGAGCAAAAAGGGTGCCAAAAGGGCCACAGGGAAAAGTCTGTGCCTTGTGAGACTGGCGTTGTTTACGACATACCGATGACGTGCGGTTTTAAGTATATAGGGCAGACCTCAAGATGCTTGAACGATCGTCTGACAGAGCACAAGAGAAACGTAAAGATAAAATCGACTAATTCCGAAATTGCGACACATGTACAAGAATGCAGAAACTGCTCAGCCGAGTGGTCCGGTACAACGGTAGTATGCAAAGAGATAAATGACGTTAAAAGGGTTGTAAGAGAGACAGTAAAAATTAGGTCGATCGGCAATTGCATAAGCCAGGCGTCTATGCTTCTTAGTGATAGGGCGAAAGCTTTTCTGCGAGTATGAAGTGAACAGGTTTTGTGTGTTTTCACCAGAGGTGCCTCCTTTGTCATGTTCTTGTTCCGTTTGTATACTGTACTCTACAAAAAGGTGTATTAGGTTGATGGGTTCGAACTGCAGTCGGTTCCGTGTGGGTCGTTTTCTTTGTCTTTTGTAAGAGTGGCTGCGAGGTCAGGGAATGTTACCTTCGGCCGACGTTTTGATGTGTGTGTAGCTTTTGTTAGTTCAAAATAATTCGTTAAATGTTTTTTTTTTTTTTTTTTTTTTTTTTTTTAGCATTGTTGTGGCTGCGAAGTCAGGATGTGTCCCCTTGGTGCCTTTGTTTGGAGCGTTTTTTTTTTTTTTTTTTTTTTTTTTTTTATGGTGACGATTTTTGGATCAGGATGTATAAAAGGAGGGAAAACTGAATAAAGTGGTTAGCTGTGTTTGAGACGTCGTCGTGTTTCTTCCACCCAGTCTCAGGTGGTCTAAAAAAATGGTCATATGCATCTTCGACGAAAGCTTCACGTCTCCCTTTTTTTTTAATTATGATTCTTACATGAACTGGCGCGTCGTATGCAGTTTTGTACGTGTTACTAAAAGAAAAGTAACCGATTCCAATTACAATTAATTTATTGAAAAATCAATGACTACACTAATAAATTAATGCATCAAAAAGTAATTAAAATTTTCCAGAAAGTAATTGATTACTTTTACGTTACTTTCATGTTACAGGAAACGACGCACACTCCACTCGACAGCTGGATAGTCAAAACGGCGCTGAGCGCGTTGACATTCTGATCTGTCTGGAATCTTGGTATTTTTTTTATTGTTAGGCATACAAATAAGTCTTGAAAGTTGGTGCAACATAGACGAGGGACGTACGGGCAGACAGAACGATTTTTTACGTAAAACAACCTCTAAATAATTCCAGCCCTTTCGGAAACATAATTTCTTACTTTCTTGTAATTGATTACAGGAAGATAGGAATTAAATTCCAGCGTACGTTACCCCAGAAAAAAATTAATTCATGCGCTAAAATTTGCAATGAAATGTAATTGATTACAAGTAATCAGTTACTTGCAAGTCCTTACGTGCAAGTGTGGTCGTGTGTCTCTTCATCCTCTCTCTTTTTGATGAACACTGGTTGTACTTTATAGCTCAATGACGGGTGAATTTTACGTAGGAACGTCCTGCCTGAAAGCAGCGATAATAATAGTTGCTCAATCATAATACTGAACTGTTCTGAGTAGTTCCTCACGTATCTCCACAAGACAAATGCGGATATTAGAGTGGGTGAAGGTTGCGTATGGCATGGTATGTTTTATGTTAAAATTTAGAGTCGAACAATCATCCTTTTTATAAGCTTACCGAAAGTAGATAGTTGCTATCGATTTTTTTTCTTTTTTTTTAGAAACACCAAAAAATTCAGATGTCGGCAAGTATACATACGGCTCTTTCCGCCCTAACGCGAGGACAGCCTACTTTGTATACTACGTTTATGGAGTACGGTACATCGCAGTGCGTACAGTTGCCCTCTTACCTCAAAAGAGTCCGCTCACACGACAGCAAGTCACTTTCCCAAGAAACAAATCAGCAGTGCCCTTCTACCTAAAATTCTGGAGACGAACGATGACGCCGAAACAGAATGGAGCAACAATTTATTACAATTATATTTTGAAATGCGATGAACTTATTTATGAAATGCGCGCAGAAAAGAAAGAGAAAACGTAATGGCAGTGTATACCGCAACGCCGGATATCATGGCTAGGCTTGGGTGGTGTTCTTGCCAGCCTTCCTTCTCCTTACGCAGCAATCATACAGGCAACTCATTACGTACCCCGCCCAAGCAATAATGAGCATACAGGCGCCGACCATAGCAACGATCTGAAACGGAAGTTTAGGCAAACATAGTTTACACGATGGAACAGCGGCTGGGAATGAAACTATAGGTGGTATTCACTGGGCGCCATACTTGAGTGCAGCGTTCACAGCGCATGCTCCGAACGATACCCCACTTATCTTCCAAAGGGACTTACAATCTTGGTGGTGTGGACGTGTGGACTGCACGTTGCGGAAGCTCATCGTGAGCTCGCGCGCTGTGCGACAGTGGGTTCAACTAGGCTCTAGGTTCAACTAGGGTCGCCAGTGAATACCGCCTAAGACGTTTTCAGTTTCCACGTGAGTTTCGTATCTAGTGTGCGGGACAAAAAAATGTTCGAAAATTTCCACCTGGAATATTTCCGAAAATATAGGCGTGGCAAAACAAGAATGTGGGACGATAACGTATTTTTTATAAACAATTTCTAACGGCATGGAGAGATCAACACGATATTTTACAGCATGCAAGAAGAGACGACATTCAAGATGGCTCCGCCCTTGTGGGAAAGGTGCATAGAGGTGGAAATTAAACTATATGCACATCAGTGCCCTATTCGCGAAGAACCGAAGAATAAAGTTTGCCACGCTTTGACGAAAATCGCAACTGTCATGCATTTCACAATCCGTTTACCGACCCGTCAAAGGCACAGGCGAATGCTTGCTTTGCACAATGACGATGATGGAAATGTTGCTTATTTACATGAAAAGGAATACTTTCCGGCTCTCTTCACTAAAGTCATTTTGTTTGCACAATACGTCCATTTCAAAAGTGAGCGCCATCTGGCGGCCGCTGCGCCAATTACCGGAGTCAGCCACAGTTTGATCATGCGCCCTGAGCGTGTCTTGGCCACGACCACTGCGTCAGCGTCCGGCGAAGACCCGGATTCAATCACGCGCTGCGCGTGGCCAAAAAAATGGCGACCGCCGATGTTACTTGATGGGGTGTCGAAAAGCGTCCACTCCATCGCCCAAAATGAAATCAATGCACAGCCTCGACTCTGCACCCTCGTTCCGCACATCCCTGCACACGAAATTACCATGGGTTTCCCCAGGAATATAAATTAGGGGGGTGTCTATACATTTTTTTTTTGGGGGGGGGGGGGGGGGGGGTTAGGGGGGCATTTAGAATTGAGAAGGGGGTGTACAGCCCTCCCCACTCTTTAGGAGGTGTCTAGGGAAATCACTGCATGTTACTATCGTACTTCGGCTCGTAAAGTTAACACGTCCGTCGTTTTTGTCTCGCTTCCTGCTTTGACCGAAGTAAAAAGCGTTTCCAGAGAGAAGAAATGAAAAATGAAAAATAAAAGGACGCTGGTGATTTTTTCAGCAATAACAGCATTGCCTTGTTTTAAAGAGAGGTTTAAAAAGTCTCAACTGAAAGGCTTCACAACTTCGGAACCTGGCTTGTTTGTTATAAAACAACTTTGCCACTTTACCAGGATGGAATTATTTATCTTTGCCTCCGCGTCGTTCTGCAAGAGCTAGGATGTGGAAAACCTAATTATCGTAGTCCTATCCTGTTCTGAGTGGCATACGCGTAAAAATACAGGTATATTAGTCACTACATGTATAATTCCAACTTCTCTTACATAGTACACACATATAATAGAAAGTTATCTTAATTAGTACATGAGCATGATTGCAAGTTCGCTTACTTAGTACAGAAACACAGTTGCAAGCTCTTTTATTTAGTGTACAAGCAGAATTGCGTGTTTTTTTACTTACACAAGTGTAACTGCGGGTTATCGTGTGCACGAACATAAGTGCAAGTTCTCTTACTAGGTACACAAGAATAATTTCAAGCTTTTCTTAGTACACACAGATAATTGCAAGTTCCCTTACCTAATAGGCTAATACACATGCATAAAAATAATTGCAATTTTTCTTAGTGCAGAAGCATAATTACAAGTTTTCTTACATAATTACAAGTTCTCTTACATAATTACAAGTTTTCTTACTTCTTAATGCCAAGTTAAATTAGTAAACAAGATTAATTGCAAGTCTCATGCAGATACGCATAATTGCAGGTTCTCTTACTTAGTGTACAAAAGTATTTGCACGTTCTCTTACTTAGTACACAAGTATAATTGCAAGTTCTCTTACTTAGCATCACGGTGGAAGAAACAGAAATGTGTTTCTTCCACCGTGCTTAGCATACAAGCATAACTGTAACTTCTCTGTTTGTAAGGGGTTCACTTAGACTGGTGCACACGTTGGCAAGCAGTAGCGTTTCAAAAACTAATCTTGTCACCGTGAATAATTTTTTTTTCTGGATATCCATTTGACAACCGTGGGCACACCTTGACAAGGCTTCGCTACCAAACGATCTACACCAGCAGCAAGATGCCGGCGCCCAGCGATGTTGCAGGTTAAGAAGGTAGCGCGAGGAAAAGGAAGGTGGGAGAGGAGGAAGCGCACGCAAAGCTGGCGAGGGGAGGGGGTTTCTTCCTCCCCTCGTACGCGTTCCGTCCATTTCCACCTCTTCCGTCTTCCTTTCCCTCGCCCTATCCTTCTTGAGTTGTCATCGACTTTATATTCTAGTCATTCTGGGGCAACATGTCGGCCAACGGGAACAGTGTTGTAACGCACCTCAGCGAAAACGCCGAACATGCTGACGAGGCCAATGATGAGTCCGTGCTTCTGAACGTACTCCTTGAGTGCTGCGACGCAGCCCTGCGTTGTCGTCAACAATAATTACAATCAGCTAAAGCGCCGTCTGAGTGCTGTGCATGCATGGCTTGCACCCATGACGTCATTGCACCACACTGGTGGTCATTCCGACCTGCTTTATGGAGGAGAAAAAAATGTGGTGCGAAATGTTTGCTGCGGATAGAAGGTACGCGCGCAGCAGCAAGACCACGCCCTAATGGAGGCTGCTGTGGCCTTTAAACCATAAGGGAGATAGATGGTAGGCAACTGTTGGTAACTGTTGGTGTAACGTCATAGCGCGCGCGACCAATGGTGTTGTTCCACGCGGGGTTGGGGAGGGGGGTAAGTGGTGCTCTAACACTGTGTAGCAGGGTAGTAACTGCGTATTAGTGCTATCGCATCTTCATTGCAGTGACGCAATGTCTAAGCCATGCGATCTTTTTCTCGGCAAGAAAAAGCACGCCACAAACATGATTCAATGGCGTCAGGTGCAAGCCATGTATGGGATTACGCAGAAGTGAACACTCAAATACAGAGGTTTATGTACCCGCTGGTAAATGTACGTTCTTGGCGTGTCGTAGTTGTCGTAGCAACTTGGTGGTATGGGCAGGTGACGCTCAGCATAGTCCTCGGGTCCCTTGCCTCCGCAGCAGTGCAGCTGTGGGGGCACCAGGGAGGGGCGGTTAGAGGGGGCCTGAAGCATCGGCGGGTTGTGTGCCACCACTTTTTGTGAAATGCCCTGCACTGCCGGAGGAATCGCTACGCAGAAATGAACCCTGCAGCTTGTTCCCAATAATGCTGAAACTGATGTATCGTATCGCAATGTTTATTTTAGGAAAAAAGCAACAACAACAACAACAACAAAACAACAACATTAAAAACCACATCTGAGGAGTTCGATCAAAAGAAGACAATATTGTCTTTTGATGGGGTCTTAGGCTCCTAGTACCTGGTTAGAACCCATGAAGGAATTAATATGTGCACGGGGAGCATCTCTTGCAAATATGTGGAAAGGCGGGACCTATACCTGGCCTTGCACGAAGTAGATGACTCTCAAGTCCTCTTCCTGGTTCCATGGCTCCTTTTCCCTGGGTCCTCCGGAAATGACGTCTACGAAGTGGTCGTTCAGCGATTGTTCCATCTGCGTGGAGGAGAGCGGTGTAGCAAATGGAAAGCAGGTTAAAAACTTGATAATCTCATACTCGTCGCGAATTTTCTGTGGCCTCAATAGAACCGGACCTTTCTATTGGTTGCAGGTTTCTTTTTACTATTTTAAATCTACTAGCATTTCTTTAAAAGGGAGGGGTTACTGCGGTCACTTTGTGAGCTACGCCAACTATACTGTCCTAATCCACGGTCTTTCATTTTTCCGGCGTGCCATTTAATATCGCGAAATTCAATTAAGTTATTTTTAAATCGACAAAAAAATCATCCCTAAACCATCATTCACTTATACCCGCGCTTTTCAGCGCCGTTACGTCAGGGGAAACCAGGCTTGCAGGCCGAGCGGGCAGTCTTAAAAATGGGCTATGCCAAGCATTTGTTTCGTACTACTGCGCTGCGTGCTTGTAATAAGTTGGGCAAAAATTCTACAGTCCAAAGAGTGAACCCCTGCATGCCGCTGTCGTCACTTTTTCATTGTTGCCAGTAGAGACTTTCACACTCAAAAACGCGGTGAGGACTAAAACTGTAAATTCAATAACTTCTGGAAAAACAATTATGGCCTAATATTTGGGTTGCTATGTCAGCGATGTTTGTTGTTCTGTTTACCCCTTCCTGGAAAATTCCGGTCGTCACATTTAAACCAATACAGATGAGCACGGGAGTGAGGTATATGTGCTGTTCTCTTCTCCTAATCGCGCACATGTGCGGGTGGCGGGGTGTGAAGTACATGTGCTGTTCTCATATCCTTATTTTGCGCATACGTGTGTCTGCGAAACGAGGCACTCACTGGATGTGTCGCAGTCCTCTTCACATTGCCTCACAAGAGGAAGGAGCGTACTAAACAGAAGCGGCGACATTAGGGTGACCACCCTCCCGCGACTCGCGGGACTGTCCCGTATTTAAAGGCTCCTGTCCCGCGTCCCGCGAGAAATTCCCCAATCTTCAAAATGTCCCATTTTTCACACTGGCGTAAAATTTGCTCTGGAATTCATGGTGCCGCCGAACAACGGGGCACGGTGAAACGCGGAGGTCGCTGGTAATCCTGTGAATCGCAATGGTACGCCATTTTCTATCCAAACATTGCAGGAAGCGACAGTCGTTCTTGCAGGAGCTTGACGCGCATGCGCCGCTGTGACTCTCCCTTTGGTGGCAAAATATCTTAAGAGAAAATTGCTTGCCAAAAGTTTAAATATAAATTATTGTAATTATTTTCATATCGTTGTGTCAGTGCAAAAAACTTGCTGTGGTTTTTTTTTAGTTAAGACAGCTACACAAGGCAAAAGGCCTACAACTCACAACGGTCCAAAAAAAATAATCTTAAAAATGTGTGTAGGACCATGTTGATAACACTAAACGTTGACAAAAAATAATAACCGGAAAAATATTTACTGTTTCTTAACTTCACTTGATGCATTCAGTTCTGCTGCAGTTCATTTTTATGCTTTCAACTTCGACCCATTTAATAACATATTTGTCATAAACAATATATCTTTGAGAGTGCAACTTATTTTAGCTTAATTGCTGCAATATAATTTGCAGGTGTATAAAAAGCACATAATATTAAAGGGGCCCTCCGGAGCGTTCTGCGATGGTATATTTATGGCGGTAACAAAATCTACAGGCCCTAAGGATCCTAAAAATCATAAAATTACGGTCATGCGCGGCGGATTTCCCTATTAAAATTGCTATCAAAGTCCCCGGCACGCCCCCCTTTCTGAGATGACCCCGGAAAACGGGAGGGGCATCTCTTTACGCGTCAGCCAATAGGAAGTGAAGGATTCCGGCGTCACTGTGCGTCACCAACGCGGCCGACCGCCGACCCGCGGAGGAATCTCTCGAACACGCGCGGACCGTCGTCAAGGGGCCCGGACTTCGTGCTCGGCAGCCATCGTTCGTCGCACCGCACCGTCGCGCTGCTACTGCAATACGCAGTCGCATTCCACAGATGACAAGGAAAAGTTTGACTCGTTGATGTGGAAGGATCGCAAAGCTGGCTTCGGAGTCGGGATCCATGGGAAGAAGGAACACGTGTCCCGCAAACGCACGCCTGCAGACGCCCCGGGAAGCAGACGAGCCGACGCGCCGACGCATCACCTCCTAGCAACAAGCTTGCGGGGAGAAAACATAGTTCGCTGGTTTTGGAGCGAAAATTGCGGACTATGTTTCCCGCACCATAATCAGTTTAAATTTTTCTCGAACTCTAATTTACAACAAGCTTAAAAAGTGTTACAATAATAACGTTCGCATTCACCGCGAGATGCAGCATTTCCATTGGTCAAGTTTTAGTCATGGGCAGGGAATGGGGGACTGTCTTCCAAGAGAAAATAGTCCCGATATATTTCTTCCGCCATCTGCTTAATAAACGTTTTTGTAATCTAAAACTTTGTATACATATTAACTTGCACCTACTACGCAATATAACAACATAAACGGACGATTGCAGAAAGCTCCGGTGAGCCCCTTTAAGTGTGTTAACAGAGCCTCGGTTCCTGGTGTGCTTGTTCATAAATTTCCTTTACAACCTCCACTCTTCCCCTGCCTTATGTGTCCCGCATTTCGCTAGCAGGAAGGTGGTCACCCTAGGCAGCATTCTGAGTATGACCGTGCTTGACGTGCCACAAAGACAACGGTGAAGAGAGAGAAGTTTGGCAAGCGATAGGGAAGCAAAACGTCTTACTGAAGACAAGCAATGCTATCGCAGTTCGACGTAATCTGCAGCGAAGTACCGCAAAAACACAGCCTTGTGTTTTCTTTTTTCTATTCTTCAGCTTTTGAAGATTCTAGAGCCTCGTTCTAGATTAGCTTGTCTACCTTCAGAGTGCTCTACTAAAGGGATTCTTCACTGACAAAAGCTAATACATTATTATTTTTTTTAGATACCGATGTATCTTTAATGACTCTGTGCCATTGTCACGCACACTTGACTGTTGTTCGGGAGAGAACGAGTCACATTTTACCCTCCTTAATTTAACTTATTTTCTTGAAAAAAAAAAAAAAAAAGACAAGAGAGAAGAAAATGAATTAGCAACTGCAAAGAAGTAACGATATCAATTCCCTACTTTATTAAAGTGAATAATTCGTTAAAGTAAACAAGTTTCGTGGATCCATTTTCAACATCTGGAGGCTGTTCCAGAGTAGCAACAACATTTCAACAGAATCTTCTGTTCAGAGAGAGAGAAAGAAAAAGATAGAAGAGGAGACCTTTCCTTCTCCGTGTGTAACTGGACGTTGCCAACATCTTCCAGACACACAGTCGTAGTGCTGAATTTTCTACGTCACCAATTGAGGGCCAGCGCTGAACTCGAGTACTGCGTCAGAGCTCGGCTGGAGCTCAAGCTCAATAAGTCAGCATAGGAGCACCAGCTGAAAACTGTTCGTGTTCAGTACGATCGCGCTTGTCATCGATGAGTAGGTGATGTAAAAAAATCAGCACTACGGTATTCTATCTAAGCAGTGTTGGCCTTGTGCGCTTTCCACAATTGCGCTGTCCGGCATCTCTTACCGACGAACTGTTCACGGAGGAGAAGACAACGGCAATGGCGACAATCTCGAAGACGAGGATCACCAGCAGGACCCCGAAGTACTGAGTAAAAACAGGCATTGGCGGTGTTTGTTTAGCTGGGCAAAATAAATCACGCTTTTCTATGCAAGAAAACGCCGCATCTGTAGATCGCACAAAAGGAGTCCGACGTTTTGATACATAAACACAGGCTCTTAAACGGAGCATTTACGTAGAAGTACAACGGTAACTGCCAACAGCGTCAGAGGGGGACGTTTTAAACGTTTCTAATAAACAATTTAACCCGCCCCCCCTCTTTCATCTCCTGAACACTTTTTACACCACTTTGCAGTTTTACTCTCAAGTCATTAGATCGCAATGTTACACCAATCTCCCCTCCGAGTGTGATGCGATAGAATTTTAAAGATCGCTCTTCTGATTTATGAACAGAGCGGGCGAGAAAATTATCTGAACACTTCTAATTCTACAAACTAATTGTATATTTCGAACAACCAACTGGCACTGCATGCAGTGTAAGTGTCCAAGTGGTATATATATATAGGGTGTTTGAAATAACCAGGCTAGATCTAAAATGAGCCGTAAAAATTGGTGCCGGCACGTAGCTGTCTAAACTTTTCGTGAAAGGTGTATTTCATAGGTCGGTTTTATCTTGTAAAATTACAAAGCGTAGATCCTTTTCTGTAAAAAATAGGGCCAAAAAAATTGCCAGGGTCAACGGCGGACGGCGACGCAGACGACCGAGTCGTGTGGTAGAGCACGATTGGCGCACGTGTTGATAGATGGCGCTACCTCTTCATCGAGACTGCTCGCGACGACCGTGGTCTGTTAAAACGAACGTAATCTTTTTGTAATATACCTTTGGTTTAAAAATGAACGCTGACAATGATAGCTAAACTTGAAGTAACAAAAATAAAAGAAAACGCGGTTACATAACGATGGCGCCAACGGATTTAGTCTGCGTGTCGTCTGCTTTCTTTCGCTGATCGGCTACACCTTCCGACGTAGGGTGTTTTAGAGTTCCTGTATAGCTACCCACGGTAGCAGAGTTGTGCAGTCAGCCTCGGCGAGTGGCCGTAACGCCGGCGTCCCCGCACGCCCTGGATGCTTTGCTCCTCACGTGACTAAATTTGGCGAATAGCGGCGCCACCCGCGCCGCCGCGCGAGGAAGACAAGAGAGGAGGAAAAGGAGGCAGAAAGCAGGGAACATACACCGGGGCGCGAGAAACGTCGGCGGAGCGACCGCAAAGGTGGCTTTCTTGCACGCAACCGAATGCTTTGCTCCTCACGTGATGGATCTCGGCGAATAGCGGCGTGGCGGCGCGGGGAAAACAAATGCGCAACTCTGGCTCCCGTAGGGATCCTATTAGCCCCGAGAAGTTCGCGTGGCGCCCCCTTACGGCGAACCGGGGTGACGTGACGGCGAGGAGAGAATTTTTCCCCGACTCGGCCCGCTCGCCCTGTGGAGGCTGTGACGACGCTAGCTGACGGCGCGCTCGTTTCTATTTAACTTTTTTTTGGCGTGTTTTTCGTAGGAAGTGTAAATTTTTATATGAGTCTTTATTGAGATATGACCTGTAGCTACAGGCGAAACTTCAACCAACATTTTAACCTTGGTTGACAGGGCAGGCAACGCATGAATCACAGCTGGTATATGAAAAGAAAGAAATATGGCCACAATTGCAGGAGCATCACTATAGATTTACATTTTGCACAATAAATGCTGCTGATGGTCTGAATGAATTGGCAGGTTATGTATATTATTTTTTTTTGTATCTCTGTTTTTAAACAAGATCGCCGAAGCAGAAAAGCTGCATGCTGCTCGAGCGACATGTTAAATACAGTCTGGGCCATGAAGAGAGAATTACAAGTAAGACAGCCCAAGTGCAGGGGCAAAAAAAAAAACAAACAAAAAAAAAAACAAGGAACATTTATTATATAATTTGCTCGCATTTGACCTTTGCTGGATTCGGATAGTATTTCAATGGACTACATGGGTGGTATCTGTGGACTTGTTTATATCAACCCTCAAGTAATATATAACAAACGTAAGCGAAGGTGTCTAGCTCGTTATTAGCCCCTTAAGCCCTAAAATTGAAATTTTACTTAAATCGAATTGTCCTGAAGTTAAAATACCAGAAGCGTTTCTCACGCAGACTGTCGCCCTTCACAGGTTCCACATTTTTTTGCTGCTAGAGCTGCATCTACCACTGGACAGACGTTCGAATGCTTGCTTTTACTCCTGTTTGCTTCTGATGTCAGAGAGTCCAGCTGTAGGGAGTTTGGAGGCTGAGGAAGCTTTCGGGGACCTGCAGCAGTGTCCCTTTTAATTGGAAATGACAATTCAGACTAAACGGTGTATTTTCGGAATACCCAAGGGTGGAATAAAAAATGTCAGAAAAAAGTATAAACATTCCAGATCACGGCACTATTGCCGTGCATATTTGGCAGTTCAATACATATCATACAGACAACTGGGGGCAATTCGGCCGTTTTTGCTGCTACCATACAAACTAATTTCCAGTAATTGTGCAGCTTCTAAGAAATATGCCTGCATGCGTGTGTAAACTATATAATTAATTCACGAAGAAGCTACATTTATTGAAAACAACCCTGTTCCACGAGCACTTTCAAGATCATCAGACGCAGGGCCTTTAAAACATCTGCGAACCAGCGCATGCAGAGAGGAAGCGCAGAGTCAGGGTCGCGAGCTAATTTGCCGACCACCCAAAGGCCCATGATATAAATGCCACTTCAAATGCCTTGAAAGCGGGATGTAATATCGTCTTAAATCATAAACGTGCAAGGAACAGAATCCCAGCGTCTGAAACACTCGCGCCACCGCTTCACCGACCCCTCGTAAGATTGCCTTGTGTCATGTGGACGGACGGGGAGGTTCCTCCGCCGATAGCTTTCGGGATTTTTAACCCAATTTCAAAGTTAAAAGGGACAAGCAGGCTTATAAAATGTACGGGAGCACGTCAATATCGGCATAACTCAACGTCCTGTACCCCGGGTAAACGAAGTCCAGCTCCTCGAAGAGCTTGCGGCACTCAACGCCAAACCAGGAAACCGGTGCTGGGAGGCGAGCCGATGCGAGATCGCGGAGCGGAGTACTCCCCCTGACGTCACGGTACACCTCACCCGATCCGGGCGCGGCGACCGCAGCGACGCTTGTGTTCGCTCTCGGGGCTAATACAGGAACTCTAGGGTGTTTCTGCTCCTGATGCCATCTATGATCTATCAATACGTCCGCCGAAAGCGCCCCGCCATTCGACTCGGTCGTCTGCGTCACCATCCGCCGTTGGAACTGGAAAGTTTTTTGGCCCTATTTTTTACAGAGAGGGAGCTACGCTTTGTAATTTCTGAATTGTAAAACCGACCTATAAAATACACGTTCGACGAAAAGTTTTGATTGCTACGTACAGGCGCCGAATTCCGCGGCCCCTTTTAGACAGAGCCTAGGTACTTTAGACACCCTGTGTATAGTCTTTGGAGTTTAACTCACATGATCAGTAGAGCTACGATGACAGCTCTGACATCGTCGTGTGGCCCTGAAGGCATTGCCATACTGCTTACAGGAGCACGATACAACTTCTTTATAAAACCGATAAGAACTCACACTTTATGAGTTGTCTGCTTGGTATACGTCGAGGGTCGGATTGGTTAATTCTGCGAATTTGTGAGCACGGACACTCGACCCCTGGCCCCATTTTACAGAGTAGACGTGTAATAGGTTCATGTCCACACAGTTAGTTGTAGAAATCCAGGCCAACAAATACCAGTTCTTCTGACCTGCGGACTTCGAGAGTCATTTCCACGCAGTCAAGTCTATAGACCAGCACAGTGTTTACAAAAAAGCCCGGGTTTGCCCACACCGGGTGCGTACACTGTTCATGCGCAGAAACCAGATTCACCCGAGGCGAAGCATCTGCGCATGCGCACTGTCGACAGCAGCGGCACCGCAGTGACGTGACATCAGAGACTTGAATTGCGAGTCCCGTGTATGACATTATCGCTCCGCAACCAATTAGATTGCGGCATTAGCCGACAAAGAAGCCGTGGAACCAATCACGACGCAAGAAGCGTGAGCTTAATAAGTCGCGCCCTATGCGGAGCGCAAGTTCGTCTGCTTCTTTTGCAGGGGTTGTGGTGACGTCAGAACGCCGAGCTCTGATAGACTCTGATTGAAGGACAGTGGGTATAGACCTCTAAGTAAGCTTCCTTAAGGTTTACCCACTATCCTTCAATAAGAACCAATCGGAGCTCGGTGATTTGACGTCACCACAAGCCCTTCAAAAGAAGCAGACGAACTCGCACTTCGCGTAGGTTTCTTAAACCGTCCTTGACCATTGCCCATGTGACACGCAGACCTCTTCCTGAGTATGCAGATTCGGGTGTTGTTTGACTGGAAGCCGTTATATGCGGCTTCGTTTCGTGGTCATTAGTCAGTCTGACTTACAAGTTTGCTCCTGGTTCTAAATGTCTCAAAAAGGACGACGCGATGTAGAACCCCACTTCCCCAACACGGGAAAGTTCCATTCGAACCCAAAATAAATTGAGTGATCGCCGAAAGGCAGCCGCGAGAAGCGACGACCCCTCCGTGGGTCTCAAGATAGCTTTTGTCTCACACCAGAAATAGGGAGGAACGACCTCCGGCTGCCGCAGGTGACCGACACTCTGAGACGACGAGGAGCGTCGGGCCCAAGAAAGCGCGATCCGCGATGCGTCACGATTATAAGCTCAGGGGGCTCGAGAAATATCCCAAAGTGCAGCGAAACCAAGTTACTTTTATATAGCAACCGTGTCTGCTCGCTAGATGCCATTTAGAAAAGGGTTTTCTCCGTGCTGCCATCTTTGTGCATACGGAACGTGCTTTGCTCGTTTCCGAAGCGACGAACGCGCGCATGCCGGATTCTGATCATCGCATGCTGAACCGTGATTCTGTATACATTAGAACGGTGAACAGCACCTTGGCAAAGGACGAAATATGCGGTCCCGGCGAGCCACTCGGGCGTCGGAGAGACCCAGGTAGCGCAAAACGCTCAGGCGACGTCGATAAAAAGTGCCGGACGTCCGCGACGTCCCATGGGACTTCGCTCACGTTAGTTTGACGTTGAAATAAGGACGATATATGACGTTTTATTATACTTCACACATATATACGGTATGCGTTGTCACGTGCCTCATACATTTGCATGGAGAGATACCGCGTCATCGCTCTAATTTGCTCAAGGGGCAGTAGTTTTCACCCTCTGTCAAGTGACTGCTAAGGGAACGTATAGAAGATTGCTGCCGGACCCAGAATACCGAACCACCATCACAGAAGAAGAAATCTCTTGATATATTTTTAAACGATGTAGGAATCACGTTCAGGTTATTATATACAAAACATCGGCATTTTAATACGAAGATAAATAAAAATCATACATTTAAATACGCGCCGTTTAGAACCTCATCGACGAATCAGTTTTGAAATCGAAGAACTGTTATATTAATTTGGCGACGCAAATAGGAAAGTGCAATGGATGACTCTTGCGGGCGGTCGCTTTATTTGGAGAAACACCACCGCAGGTGAATCGTCTCACTTTGTTAGTGACCTTTTTTGCAACGACATTTGCACGAAGTACGTTCCTGAGACGCACCACTCCAATGATTGACTTCTGGGCGCCGCCATGTTTGTCTACTGGGCTGTGGGAAGCCCTCCGAGCATGCGGAGTTCTTCTGCGAAATGTGGTGACATCTAATGCCGCGCATGCGTCAAGGGCCCAGTGATCCACCACTAGTATTTCGCCTGGGTAACAAGCGCTGGAAAAGAGCATCAGGCCGTTCCATCGCTTCTCACTAGGGATCTGTGTTTTCGGTATTTATGTTTCTTTCAATTCGGAAGTTATTAGTCGGTGTTTTTTTTCCCCCTTTGAATCGGTGCTTTTTTGTGTCTAATTTCAATGCCGGAGAGAAATTGGTGTTTATCGAACTGTGTTGTATGTATAAGGCTGGACAAAATATGATAAATTATAACTTCATAAATTCTAATATTTTCTCTAGTAATACTGGTAAAGATAAGAGAAGGGAACGGAACAAGGAAGGTGGTTCCGATAGAAAGGAACAACCCCAAGGTCAATTCAATGCAGTTGTGTTCCGAGCCAATGATATAAAAAAAATAATAGCAGAATATATATTAATATAAATATATATATATCTTTTTTTTTTTTTTTTCAAGAGCGTGCGTGTTTGTTTTTTTCTTTAAGGAGAGGTAAAATGTACGGTTTTTCGGTTTTTACCGGCTCAGAGAAAGGCGCCTTGGGGTTAATTGTCGGTGTCTATTGGTATATACGTAAAACACGAAGCCCTATCTTATTACACAGGGCGAAAAATGGCAAACCACTGGTTTGCAGTAGATTGTGCGCATCGTTTGCTATACTGCAAAAGACTGCGCACGCTTACTAGGCCTCGTACAACCCAGTAGACAAAGATCATGGAGCGGAGAAGGCGATCATTTTCCTTAAAAGAGTAATTAAAGTTTTGTACGAATGAATTTTGACGGGATCGGTCGTCCCCATTTCTGAAATGCTGACTCACTGCCATGAGCATACGGTAGGACTCTTTAATGGCTCCGCAAAGGCCTAGGAAACCGACGATCAGGAGCAGACATCCGAGAAACATGCCCGTGCCGGCCGCTTGCCGCACGCTCTGAACGCCCAGGAGGGAGGCGTCGTTCGTCTTGCCGCTGGCCAGTGTGACTCCGGCCACGACAATGACCACCAGCCCCAGGAGCTGAGAAAAGAAGAGCACAGATTGTTCACTTTCAAGTTTAACTAGGATTGAGTACGACCGAGAGAGACCAGACCGGTTTTTAAGCCTCTTGCGACGTCTTAGGACCGGGCGCGCTGCTGCTGAGCTGGTCCCAAGGCGTAGTAAGAAACTTAAAAACCGGTCTTGTCTCTCTCGGTCGCACTCGGTTACAAGTATGTGAACGAGCCTTTAATTTCAATTCAGGGGGAAACCCTTCGTTAGATCTTTCCGATAACGCAGATATGGAATTGTGGTAAATCGGTTCGATACTTCCGATAACGGTACCGATATGATGTACGCGCAAAGGTGTCGGCGGAGAGTTGGATATGGTTATCGGAGTTATCGCCACCATCTGCTAAATCCCAGTGTTGGGTATAGTACGTCTAAAAAGTACTTGAAATAAAGTAGAAAGCAAATGAGAGGTTATGTACTTCAAGTAAAGTAGAAGGTACACCGGGCACAATGTATTTGAAGTAAAATACTATAAACATAATGTACTCTTAAAGTAAAGTACAAGTACTTTTGAACACAATCTTGCATGGTGCCCTTTCACACACCTTATAAAAATTTTTTTAAATTTTTTTAGTGGTGTGCATTGTTTTAGGGGTAATCGGGGTGCATCAGTTATTTTAGGAGATGGTGGCTAGTATTGGGATAAAGTCAAGTGGCCACAAAGTAATGTTTTTACTCTCGCTGACGAACTATCTACATAATCGACTTAAAAGGCACTTGTTTGTATCGGTCTTACGGCCTCCATTAATTCACTCGTAAAAATGACCAGATAATGACTCGTAAGACAATAGCGCCTTTTCAGATGACGGTTCGCTATATATATATATATATATATATATATATATATATATATATATATATATATATATATATATATATATATATATATATATATATATATATATATATATATATATATATATATATATATATATATATATTTACATATATATATATATATATATATATATATAATCTATATACAACACGGGCACTTCACACCATCATACGTGGTCTCCGAGGAGGATATGAACGAATATGTGTAGATGAATGGACCGTACTTAATCCAATGAATCAAAGAATCAAAGTTTCCAGGAACCCGCCGAAAGCCAAAAATTGGCGGACCGGACATCTGGGCCTCCCAATGTCCGGTCGGGTGTGCTAACCACTACACCACTCCACCTTGGCTTTCTGCATTCATGTGCACATATTCGTTCATATCCTCCTCGGAGACCACGTACGATGGTGTGAAGTGCCCGTGTTGTATACTCAATAACGAGGCTCTTGATTCTCGCAGATGATGATCATACCGTGTCTCTAAAGCTCATAAACGAAGAATACTACATGTACACGGGGCGAGACAAACAGTGGGAGGATTATTGGAGCACAAACGAGCACGTACCACGTGACACTAAGCGTCGTACCGCGTTCCACGCGGCGGCGTGTGTTTCCAGAACACCTCCGATTGGATACATTTCGTTTCTTGTGCATTATGAAGACAGGTAGGAAACGCCAGAAAGCCAAGGTGGAGTGGTGTAGTGGTTAGCACACCCGACCGGACATTGGGAGGCCCAGAGTTCAAATCCTGGATCCGCCAATTTTTGGCTTTCGGCGGGTTCCTGGAAACTTTGATTCTTTGATTCATTGGATTAAGTACGGTCCATTCATCTGCACATATTCGTTCATATCCTCCTCGGAGACCACGTACGATGGTGTGAAGTGCCCGTGTTGTATACTCAAAAACGTGGCTCTTGATTCTTGCAGATGATGATCATACCGTGTCTCTAAAGTTCATAAACAAAGAATACTACATGTACACGGGGCGAGACAAACACTGGGAGGATTTCTGGAGCACAAACGAGCACGTACCACGTGACACTAAGCGTCGTACCGCGTTCCACGCGGCGGCGTGTGTTTCCAGAACACCTCCGATTGGATACATTTCGTTGCTTGTGCATTAATAATACAGGTAGGAAACGCCAGAAAGCCAAGGTCGAGTGGTGTAGTGGTTAGCACACCCGACCGGACATTGGGAGGCCCAGAGTTCAAATCCTGGCTCCGCCAATTTTTGGCTTTCGGCGGGTTCCTGGAAACTTTGATTCTTTGATTCATTGGATTAAGTACGGTCCATTCATCTGCACATATTCGTTCATATAATCTATATATATATATGTATATATTATACTCGTATGTATATATACATATATATATATATATATGTGTATGTATATATGTATATATACATTTTTATTTTTTTTAAATTGGTGAACTTCTATTTCAGGATATAGAAGCTGTTTATAGGACTGGGAAAGCCATGGACGCGAGCGCGTGGTCCTTGCATGAGCTTAATTTCTCCGAGCGCAAGACGGCACTGTCAAGGTCAAGTCGTTCGTCCCCGTACCTTTCGGGAACTCATCGAGTCTTCCCCATTCTCCCCCATAGGACGAACTATAGAATGAGCTATAGCGGAAGATACGAAAAGCAATAGGCGGCTAAAGAAAACGCAGGAAAAGCCATAGGCAGCTATAGCACGGTGTCTAAAAAGATCCATAGAGCAAGGCATAGAGATTTCTATAGCGCACCATACAAGATGCTATAGGTGGCTAAAGGAACCATACGAAATGCTATAGGAAGCTGTAGCACGATAAGTATTGAGAACCATAGGACGAACTTTAAAATGAGCTATAGCGGACCATGCATAGAGCAGTAGGCGGCTAAGGAAGCCATAGGAAGAGCCATAGGAAGCTATAGCACGGTGTCTAAAAAGATCCGTAAACTAAGGCATGGAGATTTCTATAGCACACCATACAAGAAGCTATAGGCGGCTGAAGGAACCATAGGAAATGCTATAGGCAGCTGAAGCGCGATAGGTATAGAGAACCATAGGAAGAACTATAGAATGAGCTGTAGCGGACCATACAATAAGCAATAGGCGGCTAAAGGAACCATAGAAAAATCCATAGGCAGCTATAGCACGGTGTCTAAAAAGATCCATAGAGTAAGCCATAGGGATTTCTATAGCAGACCATACAAGGTGCTATAGGCGGCTAAAGGAACCATAGGAAATGCTATGGGCAACTGTAGCACGAAGGGTACAGAGAACCATAGGATGAGCTATAGAATGAGCTGTAGCAGACCATGCAGAGTCATACGCGGCTAAAAAGCCATACGAAAAGCCATAGGAAGCTATAACACGGTGTCTAAAAAGATCCATAGAGTAAGCCATAGAGATTTCTATAGCAGACCATACAAGGTGCTATAGGCGGCTAAAGGAACCATAGGAAATGCTATGGGCAACTGTAGCACGAAGGGTACAGAGAACCATAGGATGAGCTATAAATGAGCTGTAGCAGACCATGCAGAGTCATAGGCGGCTAAAAAGCCATACGAAAAGTCATAGGAAGCTATAACACGGTGCCTAAAAAGATCCATGGAGTAAGCCATAAAGATCTCTATAGCAGACGATACAATAAGCTATAGGCGGCTAAAGGAACCTTAGGAAATTCCATAGGCAGCTATAGCACGGTGTCTAAAAAGATCCATAATGTAAACCATAGAGATCCCTATCGAAGACCTTACAAGAGGCTATAGACGGCAAAGGGAGCCAAAAGAAATTCCATAGGCGGCTATAGCATCCATTCTAAAGAGACCCAAAGACTAAACCATACAAAGTTCGATAGCGAAATTTCCATTGAAAAAGCTATAGTCAACCTTAGGGAAGACCATAGGAGAAGCTATAGACAGACATAGAGGCGGCTATAGGTAATTGGGTCAATTTGCTATAGCCGGCTATACGAAGGATTTTCTATAGCCGACCATAGACCATTTTTGTATGGGCGGAGCTACGCACACGGATACCGCGACGAACACACCGTGCTCCGGCTCGGAGTTGGTCGCCAACCGCGCCCGCAATTCTTATCTCGGACTGTTTTCGCTCGCTTCGTGGTGCCTGGAGAACGACTCCGAACAACGGAGCTCCGGAGCGATCTTAGCTCCAGAGGGGGATTCTCGAATGGACGGTGTAGTTTCAGCATATCACGTGACGCCGTTCCTGCACACGCATGGATCCGATGCAATGTGTCACGCGCTGCGCGTGCCCACAAACCATGTTCACGTGAGCTGGAGCGTCTGCATACCCGTGCCGTACAAAAAACAATCCCACCGCGGTTGCGTGACATCAAGGTCACGCCTTTACAAGATTTCAAATCTATACATCTGGTTTTTCGACCGTGTTTTTTCTTTTATAAGGAGATATACCTACGTATGGATTTAGTAAAATAAAAAAAAAAAGACGAACCAAAAGGTAAAAAAAGCAGACAGCTTTTTTTTTACTTTACGTTTTGAAGATGTTACACCTAAATCTTACGCCAGCTTGTGCGCAACAACCCTGCCGTGTTGTACGGTGTCACACAACGAAATCGTAGCGGCAACGTGAGACGGAGGTGACAACATGGAAACGACTAATTCATGTACAACGCAAAAAGAAAAAAAAATGCAACGAGCATGTTGATAAAGTAGGGACGAACAATTTATTTACTGTTTTTTTTTTCTTTAACGTGGTGTTTCTGCCTGATATTGATATCGCATTATGTAAACAATGTTTTCCGCATTGCTGCAGTTTTTTTTAGTTTTCTTATTTTCAAATGTTTGTTAAGAACCATATCGCTGTTACTATACTGACAGCCTTCACCAGTAGTAAGGGGAATACGCAACCTGTAAGTTATCAACAGTATATGTTACTTTGTGTTGAATGAAACCCTTTCCTTCCTGAAGGAACGAAGGAACGCCACCATTCCTTTTTACATCGGTGGAACTCGAACGGAAACTCGTTAAGTTGTTGAGGAAACGGGAGGAGGAAGAGCGGCGTTCTTTTCTTTCTGTTTATATATTTGAATTTTCATCGCAATTTAGTAGACGTTTGGGCTTTTTATTATTGACTATTTCAACCTTCGACTTTGAGGAATATGAAA